TTTCCTCCAAACATTGTTTATCTTGTCAAATAAATTGCTTGCAAAGGGTAACACGGCAAAGACCTTCCAATAGGCTCTCCAGTAGTTAATGTGGGAATTCGAAATAGAAAGGGGCTCAGAGCCATGAGGGACAGAAGGAGAGTTTATACAATAGAATGTAATAGCCCCAAGCAGTGAGTGTGGAGAAAACCTTCTGAAGAAAAAGGAGGATCATACACCAGGTGAAGAGAAGAAATGTAGATACAAAGTTAGAGATGAGATTCATGAAAGTTAGATTCACTAAAGATCTTCAGCTGATAATGTTTGTGTACCATTACCCAAGCACTTGGTTAAACTACTGAAAAGCCAACTAAAGTAAGTAATTGTAGTTTTTGATACAGTAAAATGCATAAAAGTTACTGACTTTAAGTATTGTTCTTATAATGAAAGGATCTTTTTATGTGTTACTTCAATCAAAGCATTTGCATAGTCTTTATTTGGGAATGTTCTTGGTAGGTGTAATCTTTCCATTTTATTATTTTACTCCCTCCAAAAAAATGTTTATGTAAGGAAGAAATATTTTTAAAACTACAAAAGTCAGCTTCAGACTTACTATCCTTGATAGAATATCTCTATTGCTAATTTTATCTTTAAGTACTTAATTAAAAAGCATTAATAAGTATTAATTAATAAGTATTAAGAATTAATAAGTATGTTACCCCGGCAAAGGTTGGGGGGACGGGTTATGTCTAGAAACAGAGGAGATGGGATAGCTTAGTGGATCCTCTCCCTGCAGTAACTCAGAAAAAAAATGTAAGGCTTTTTATTTTTTATGAGCCTCTGCCTCGTAGTATGTAATAGAACTTTCCTCTCCCATCTTCATTCTTTATAGAGAGCCTTTATAAGGATTTTCAGGAAGGGTACGTATTTAGTCAGTAGAAAGAAATAGGGTTCAAAGTTCAATGTGAACCTCCTCAGGTTGCCTCTGTCTGGCCATCTGTCTCAATCTCAGTCTTCCAGTCTTTCTGTGTCTTTTATTCTCCCCCATTTGCTCCTTTAACTCTCCACTTCCTTCCAGCTCAGCTCTGTGTCATGGTAATAAAGAACCAGCCAAGTCCGACTCATGCATCTGTGTGTTTTAGCTGAATCATTCTGAAAATCATAAAATTATTCAAAGCAGTAGAATTAAACTGATCCTTACCACTAAACCAAAGAATATAGTCTGAAGATTATGTGCATATTTGTCCACTATAAATTATATGAATTAAAGTATATTAACTCAGCTAATCTGAGGAAGGAAGAAATATTCAAAATGACCTCAGTGAAAATACTGTCCTGTATGTTTCTTCAGTACATGGTGCACACAAGTCAGAGACCTGATGCAGTCCAAACTTTTTCCCATAGAGCTGTATTTCAAAACAGATTATGTCACACAAGGTCCCTGGAGCAGTAATATTCTTACATCTTCATACTCCATCACAGCACCCCCAAGAGTTCATCACGATGAAAGGTTTCATCCTTCCTCTGAATTCACTATACCTCTCTATGTTTCTAATCCTCTGTCATAAAAACAGCTCATAAAAAATGTTCAAAATTTCAGCCAGAAGGACTGTAGATGGTTCTAAGAGTTTGATCACATTCATGTCCAACCTCTTGGTCCATGGAGAGTACCGGTACCAGTTTAGCCTGTTTCCTCCTTCACATGCCCCTTTTCCATTGTCTTGTGACTATGTATTTGCATCCAGAAATCCATTTTTAAGAGTTAATTGCACACAATCAGAGTTCAGTGGTTCTGTATAATTCAAGCCAACCCACATCTGCTGCAAAGCCAAGTTAATAGACTTCAAAGTCGCACACCAGGTTTTCCTAAGGTTGCAAAAGTCATTCTGAGCTATACACCAAATTACTGCATCCAAGTTTCTATTCCCCATAGCAGGTTTTGCTGAGTGTTCACAAAAGAGTGATTTTGATTTAGACCTTCACTTGCTGTATTCTTTATTAAAGGAGGCCAAACTGATGAGCTAGTTCTAACTCAGGGATGACAAGCACCTCTCATTTTGTGGGTTAAGTCCAGCCAGTAAGTAAAGATAATACTCCTGGCTCTGGTAGTATGGTAGACTACATGACTATAAAGCCCTCTGCTAAAACACCTGGCAAATGTGAGAAAATAGACAAGCATTTGCTTAAATGCATAACGGAGCCAGCAAAAATATTAGAATATTACCAAGGGACGATAACAAAAGGAGCTAAAAACCAAAACAAAATGCGTGTGAGCCGCTGCTGCCGCTGAGCTTCAGGCTTGGATTTTGGTGCCCACCCAAGGAAAAGGTGGTCTTATGCCTTTGCCTGCGAACAGCATCCATTCAAGTTAGTCTATTTGGTTTGTTTCTCAATAGCCATGGCCAACATATTTATTTTAAACTGCTCCATTACTGAAAGGTAATGTCACCCATGCTTCTGTGGGTACCAGAAGGGTAGGGGGCTTGGCATATTTACAGAGCTACTTCACCAGCTCAGCAAATTAAACCGATGCTCTCTGTGCTTGCTGACCTGGCACACACTTTACTTCCACCGTTTGAGATATATGCTTAACGAAGAGGTGTCATTTGTATTTGTTCCCAAACCTCATAATGCCGATTATACCTAGTTTTGTGATTTCATACTTAAATCTTAGAGAAACAGATAAGTGAGAAAAGAAAGAGATTGGTTTTTCTTCTGCAACCCAAGTTCTATGCTTTGGAAAGAATGAAAACTTATATATCAATTAAGATGTGAGCAAAACGACTGTAAAAGAGTATGCTGGGAGAAGAATTTAAAATCTAGAAGGGCCATCAGTCAGTAAAATTGTGGAAAGAATAGAGAGTCTAGGTCAATCCGGTGAATTATTTTGTTCCTTGTTGAAGTAAAGCAAGAATTTAAAGACAATTAGACACATGTAAAGCAATCTGAGTACAGAATCCCATATGCACCCACTTGTGAAACACCAGGTTCTCTCTAAAGTGCTTTTTGCGCACTTGCATCCCCAGAGGCTTAGCTGTCGGGACTGTCTATGATGCAGAGAACATTATTAACTGAAATAAAAGTATTACAGCACAGTGATGAGGCATTCGGGCTTTGAGGCATGGCAGACCTGGTTTGAATTTTAAGGCTGCAATTTGTTATGTGTCTGTTGTTAAGTCATGAAACACCTCAATCTCTTCGTTTGAAAACAGGGATGATAATACTACTGTGCTCCTGGAGTGTTTGTGAGAATTAAATGAGATAATGTGTGGGGAGCATGTGGCACTATGCCAGACACATTAGTCCTCTAATAAATATTAGCTGTTAAGATTCCATTGTGTGGCTTTTCTGAAACTTTCACTTCTCACCTTGCTCTCTTTTCAGACCTGTCTGGATGTCTTTTAGAACCCAGCTCCATAACTCTTTATGAATTTGGCTGCATTAGTGATGTACAAGTTGCCAGCATTTGTTTGCGAGGGCTGCCATAACAAAGTAACACAGATTGGGCTGGCTTAAATGACAAATTTTATTTTCTCACAATTTTGAGATGGGATAAAAGGGGTCAAATATGTGGTGACAGAAAAAAATATAACTATGGGCAATGAACACACAATGCAATATAATATATATATATATGCCTTACTGTTGAATCATATACCTGAAACTTACTGGATTTCATTAACCAATGTTACCGTAATAAAAATTAATTTTAAAAAAAATTTTAGAGGCTGGAAGTTCAAGTACAATGTATCAGCAGGTTTTGTTTCTTCTGAGGCCTCTCTCCTTGGCTTGTCATCCTGCTTTGTGCTCACATGGCCATTTCTCTGTGTGCACTCATGCCTCTGGCGTCTCTTCGTGTGCCCAAATTTCTTCTTTTTATAAAGACCATCAGACAGACTGGATTAGAGTCCACCCTAACAGCCTCATTTTTAACTCATTAAAGGGCCTATCTTTACATACAGTCACATTCTGAGATATAAGAATTGGGCTTCAACATATGAATTTGGGAAGGGACACAATTCAGCCCATATCATTGCCACAAATAAATCACTGCATTTGAAAATAACCGTTTTCAGAAATAATAACTTGAATAGAAAGCACGGTTGTAGAATTTTAAGGTGTCTTCTAACCACTGAAATGCTATGACTGCAAGATTCGTTATATATGACCTATATAGTGAGTTTGTTTAAACACATTGTTGAAAAATATCTGTTTATGTCATTCATTGAGCAAAGAGTTAGGGAACAACTACACGTGTACTATAGGTATATATAAAATCGAACAAAATATTTATTAACTGAGTACCTGTTCAAGTAAAGCACTAGGCTAAAAAGGTTAGGGGCAAACCTAGAGAAGTCTTTGCTCTCAAGGGCTATTGATCTACTGGAGAAAATGCCAGAAATATCACCAAGTAAGCTCACTTAATTGCCAGTTAAATGCTCAGTGTAGGCAATGAAGGCTGTGTTCTCAATTGCCTCTGAAGCCCAACGTTAGGGTTTTAAGCTTATAATGCTTATCTACCATAATATGGGGAGAAAAGGAAGTGGTATAATCAGAAAAATAGACCTGGAGGTAGCTCACTGCTGCATTCAGGACAAGTGGCCTACGATAGCCAAATGGTGAGGAAAGGGCGCTCTGAGAAGCATCTAACCAAGAACAGTTTCAAAGGACATCATATACCCCTGGTTGGAGACCAGGACAGTGATGTGTTCAATCCCACCATAAAGTTAAGTAGAACCCTGAAGCCAGGGCCTGGTGATACTATTACAATGACTGCAAATAGGATACCTGCGATTATAAAACACGGGCATCAGGTACCACCAGATATCCATGAGAGATCCTTAACATATGTGACATGCAGGAAAAACATTCATTTACCAAAGGAAACACGTCTCAATTCCTTACTTCTTCCCCACCCTTAAATAATATTTTGCTTCCTGCTAAACAATGATAATGGCAAAGATGATTGAAATGTAACCTGAGAAAATTCTTTGTTTAATACCTATCTTTTATTCTTTTAGGCCTCTTTTCCGTGGCAGTTCAGATGTCGATCAACTAGGAAAAATCTTGGAGTAAGTAATAACTGTAATTTTACATCAGTATCTGTAACATTAAAACATTTACAGTGATTTTCCTCTGACGTTCATATAATATGTTTATCTCTTATCTTTCCTACCTCAAGCCGCTGCTGCAGACAGTGTTACTGTTTGTGTGGTGAGTGGGGACATGGCAGACATGCTGTTCTATGCAGAGCCCATCATGACATGTGGCCTAACTGTTCTGCTCTGGAAGCTTGTATGTTGCTTGTGTGGATCTTTGGGCTGCTCCTCTTTCTTTGCTTGGCTGAGTTCCAGTTCTTTAGTTCAGATGTGTTGTCTGCTTGGGGTCATTTCAGATGCATACACCATCAGAGGTGGGGCACTTGATGGCCTGGTAATGCATCCTTACCCACTGGGCTTCCTGTCCCCATTGAGTATCATTTAGTCATCCAGGTTGGTTTTGCATTGTTTTCTTTTGTTTTCCTGGACAAAGGATAGTATGCTACACAATTCATTTTTCTTTGGAGCATCGAAACAGGAAATGAGAATCCTAAATTCTAATCCTATGTCTGCGGCTAAATAACTGTGCAATCTTGAGAAAGTCATTTAACACACCCTGTAAAGGACTTACACAGATCCTGGTATATAGTAAATGCTTTTAAAATGCTAGCAATGATTATAATTCATCATTAATTGTTTAACCATTTCGTTCCTTAACTTCTTCACCTAAGAAATGACACTTCGGGCTTAAATTCTCTTTAAGATTCTTTCTTGTGCTCAAATTCTTTAGTTCCAGTTATCTGTTATATGCTCCTTGATGATTTGCAGAGTTTCATTCATGTCTGCATGTGTGCATGTGAGGGTATGTATGCTTTCATGTTTCTAGAATATAAAAGGGGGCTTTTCTTCTCACAAAGCATGCAGTATGGCATCCTTTTGGGATTTTGCGTTTGCCAAGTCCCATCAGACTTGGAGCAGAGTAGGAAGAAAGTGGGAGTTGTAGAACCAAAATAGCCCTGATCACTGGTCTGTGACATTTTATAGAATCCCAGTGGTTTTTATGATATTCGTAGTCTGTAAAACAGGGGAGAAGTGCCCCTGAAGAGAAGAATTATATTTAACTCTATCTACTCAAGCATGACTGCTTAAAACAGTTGGAATAAAACTGGAACCTGACTTTGTTCTTTTGGTGACCGGATGCAGCGCCAGTAGACTTCTGTTAGTGCCTGTGCCACTGCTGAGTCAGAACCCAGTGGCTTTAAGGTCCAAAAAACAGTTGCCAGCTTTATTGTCTGGGGGTTGCCTGGGTCTAGGGCAACTGCCACAGCTGCTGCTTCTACTGCTCCTTCTGACCACTTTGTAAGATGGACAGATTCGGGACAAAACTTTCATGTTATTCTCTACTTCTGGATGTCAAGTTCTTTGTCATCTGGTGATGAACTCCCATCTATTCATCCCCATCACTGTGGAATATGTTTTGTGTATATGTGATCTTGAAGAGGGAACTGTGAAAGTCAGACATTATACCAGGGACCCTTTATTAGAAGGAAAAGCAATGTTGACTGAAAGCAACTTGCCAGGCATTGAAGTCCTTCACCTGCTTTCCCTGGGCACCACCTGGGCATCTGGTCCACCCCCAGCACTGGCATCTGACTGAGTCTTGTCGACATTGTTCGTGTCCCTGAGTATATACAAGGCAGTGAGATGAACCAGAAGAAACTTATGACGAGCATGTTTGACTTGCTTCCAAGGAAAAGCCAGTTCCACTTTTAGCAAAGGCCTGAGATCCTAGATTGCCAGGAGAAAGAAGCCATGAAGTTCTATGTGTTTTGTGCCTTTAGATTTTACTTCTTGGTCTCTGGCATCGTTTCATTGAAATTATGTTCTATTTCCTCTGAGTGCATACATTACTGTGGCATAGAGAAAGGGACAATGCTGCACCCTAGCGTCACTTCTAAAGTACTTGAAAAATGATTTCTGTCCCCACCATCACTGCCATTTATAGGTTTTGTGCTCTGTCATTCTTTCCAGTACAAATGTCAACTTTTAAGGCTTACATTCAGCTGTCCAAATACTGAAATTTGATGCAAGCACTTTTTAATGGATCTATCAGAATTTCACAACACTCATATGTGGGCCGTAAAAGTTCATATTGGATATTAAACTAATTTTTTTAAAGGCAAGTTAAATCCACATTCTCTTAAGGGGAAAATGTTTGTGTTTAGGAAGATTTATACTTTCAAAGAACAGCAAGTACTTTGAAAGTGAAACTAAATGCTTTTAGCCTGTGGCATTTTGGAGGATTTTTAGGAGCAGAGTCATAGTTAAATAGAAACAAAATATTGGATTTGGAATAAGGGGAACTGGGTTCACTCCAGGCTCTGTGGCTGAACTCGCTATGTGTGGCTTTGGCAGTTAATTCATTCCTCATCCTCAGTTTCCCCATCTATAAAACGGAAATAATAATACCTGACCTACATGTCTCAGGAGGTTGTTATGAGGATTAGGGGAGGTAATAGGTTTAAAAACACTTTTAAAAGTTATTTATATAAGCAGTTTTATATGTTAATATAATATATATATAATTATATACCATGCATACATATACATACAGAGACACTGTTTCTCAGAGGGCTTTTGGCATTCATCTTTCTATATTGCCAGATTTAACGCAACATAAATATATTGAAAGATGCAAATAAAAAGATTTTAAATTATTGCTAAGAGTTATTAAAACCAGTTTCTAGGTAACTGGTGCTGATATGCAAAAATATTGATATAAAAATGGCTAAAAAGCTAAAAATGAATGAAAGAAAAATTTCAAAGTTCTTTAATAAGCATTCTTCTTTTCCTCCTCTACTTGTCCCATTCTGTCCAAACACATGCATATTTATTTCTTTTAATAATTAATAGTGGAGCTTTTTTTCTTCTTTTTATTCTTATTCTAGATCTTGCTACTAAACAAATTTGTATATTGCTCAAGTTGCCATTTCCATTCATTTGTTCCAGTAAATATGTCTATGAGTTTGTCTTTTTCTGCCTCAATAACATAGCTCTCCCAGCATGTTCTACAGGTATAGAATTGTCTTTCCCCAGACACTCAGTGACAGGAAAAGTTAAAACACAAGTGTCTGCTAACCAGGTGAGGTGTGTGACCTGGCTCTGTTGAGGAGGTAAGGGAAGGAGAACAAAGCCCTACAGAGATCTCATGACATTTACCACCACATCTTTCTGAAAGTTGGAAATCCATTCGGGAGAACACCCACCCCTCCTTGGCCTTAGTCCCATCATGTGCAGGCCAAGAAGACCCTAATACAGGCCAGCAGCATTTCTAACTGTAGTTTAAATAGTTTGGTCAGCAAATTAAAACCACAACGAGATATCCCCTCATACCCATCAGAATGGCTATCTTCGATAAATCAAAAAACAAGTGTCAGTGAGGATGTGGAGAAAAGGGAACCCTCGTTCACTGTTGGTGGGATTGCAAAATGGTACGGCCACTACAGAAAACAGTTTGGAGGTTCCTCAAAAAATTAAAAATAGAACTACCTTTAGACCCAGCAATTGCACTTCTGATTATTTATCCAAAGAAAACCAAAACACTAATTCATAAAGATCTATGTGCTCTGAAAACCAAAACACTAATTCATAAAGATCTATGCACTCTTATGTTCACGGCAGCACTATGCACAATAGCTAAGATATGGAAGCAGCTGCAGCACTATTCACAATAGCTAAGATATGGAAGCAGCTTACATGCCCATCAACAGACGATTGGATAGAGTTATGGTTCATATATACAATGGAATATTACTCAGCCATAAAAAAATGAAATTCTACCATTTTGCAGCAACATGGATGGACCTAGAGGGTATTATACTGAGTGAAATAAATCAGATAGAGAAAGATAAATACCATGTGATTTCACTTATATGCAAGATCTAAGGAACAAAAGGAACAAACTAAACAAAAACAGACTCACAGATACAGAGGACAATCTGGTGATCGCCAGAGGGGAGGAGGGTGGGAGGGCTGGGAGAAAAAGGTGAAGGGATGAAGAAGGACAAATTAGTAGTTACGAAGTAGTCACAGGGACATAGAGTACAGCAAAGGGAACATAATCAATAGTAATGTAATAGCTAGATGTAGAGCCAGATGGGTGATAGAGTAAGCGGGGGATCACTTCAGAAACTATATAAATGTCTAACCAGTGTACTGTATATCTGAAACTAATATAAAATTTAAAAAACACATTAAAAAAAGAAAAGAATAGTTTGGTCAGTATTTGAATAATCATATATTCTGTTTACTAAACTATAATCTTTTAGTTCAGAGTTAATCAGCGTCTATATGAGATATAAGTTTTTGGATCCACTGGTGTCCCTCGTTCAAACCTATACATAAGCTATAAATAATATCCACATAATGTATATTTTGTTGCATAAGGCCACTGAGCTGTTAATATTTCTGTAGAACCTTAAGTTACACATAAATAGAACTTAAGCATTACATATGTTTAGTGTGGTAGTGATGCATTGCCTACACATTTTAGATTAATAACATTATTTTCCTCTTATAATAATAATGGGTAATATGTTGATATTGGCAAGTACTGTGTGTCAGGCGCTGTGCTATGCACTTTATATAAATTATCGCTGATCCTCATAACAACCGTGAATTATTACCATTGTTGTATTAAAGACACTGAGGCTCGTAGAAGTTAAGTAATTTGTCCTTACCCACCCATATGCAGAATTTGAACCCTGGTCTGCTTATTTTCAAAGCCTGTGCTGTTTGTATGTTACTTGATGCTCTCTCCATATTTCTGATCTCTGAATGATTTTTAGGGAAAACATAAATGATATCGTTTTTACTTTTGTTTGCACACTTTGGAATATCATAAAATAGTTATATAATGTAAATTACATAAATTAAATTTAATATTAAATTAGAAAATAGTGCTTGCATAGCACAGGACTAACATACCTTTTAGCCTCTTTTTTTTTGTCTGATTCTAATGTATCTAATTACTATTTGGAGTTATTCTTTAATCAAGAGTGCGACCAAATTTGTATGTTAACAGATCATGTTAGATGAACATTATAAAACCATGTCAATATGGAAGTGTTCGATCAGAACACAGAAAACACTCTTGGGCATAAAGGAAAATATTGTATGCCCACGTGGGTCCCCTTTGAATATATAGGTCCTGCTCTGTCAGTATGTAAGAGCTTATTGGTAGTATAATATTTTCCACTTCTTCATTATCTCTTATATTAGTATCTGCTTCCAGAGTAATCTCTTATCCTTTTCTAGTGAATTTTACAATTCTCCTGTGAGATTACCCTCTACCCTATGATCACCGTATTGCATGCAGTAGGACCAAGAGAAAGTAGTCTTGCCAGTCATACAAGTGAGGGACTCCTGGGGTTCTCTGTCCCCCGTGCCTGCCTCTTAGACTTTACCTTCATCTAGAATTCAATAGGAAATAGCTTCTGCACAGCATCTAATGCTTCTGTTCACATGTGGTTCTTTTGTAGTGTAATCGGACTCCCAGGAGAGGAGGACTGGCCTAGAGATGTTGCCCTTCCCAGGCAGGCTTTTCACTCAAAAACTCCTCAACCTATTGAGAAGTTTGTAGCAGATATTGATGAACAAGGCAAAGACCTACTTCTGGTAAGTTCAAGTGATGCGGAGTTGATCTGCACTGTGCTGATGAGAGACCTGTCCTGCTCACGCTGGGTGGTGGGTGCAGCATCAGTTCGGCATCACGTGCCAAAGCCTCACAAGACATAGGCCACAATCTCTCTACAGCTCTCATTTCCACACCTATAGTAGCTGGTGGCTTTTGATTCTGGAATGTCTTCAGTTCCTCTAGAAAGAGAAAGAGTCTGATCCGCACACTTTCAGTTCTCTAGCTTTCGATGTTAATTTTAATGCAGGCTTTGAAGCCTCTCCATTCCTCTGTACATATGCTTCTAATAAGTATTGACTGTGCCATGCACATATAAATGCCTCCATGAAAATAAGGGATTCAGTGTCCTATTTGAGACTCAAACTTGTAATACTTGTTCTTTTACATAGCTCCCTATACTTGGAGGCCAAAACAATAAGTAAGGGAGTGTATCTTTTGGGCTACTTTTGGTGTTTGGAACCCAGTGAGTAATATTGTGTATCCTTTACCTACTAATAAGTCTCCTAGACCAGAAGGAGCCACTGCTCCCATTCTGTTAGTATATTCTGAATTTCAAATATAGATCCAAGAGTCTCTGGCTCTTGGAAGAAATGTTATGCTTCAGCTCTGTGTGGACACAGCCAACGATTGGCATGTTTGCAGAGCCATAGAATTTCCCAGTTCCAGCTCTAACTCCATCTTTACCTGGTGGTAGTTCATTTTCTGATGTTTAGGCAAAAGTTCCCTCCACTGCCAAGTTATGGACAAGGACGGCTATATTTTTTTTTTCCCGCTGTTTATTTCTAAGACACTCACTAAGGCCTACATCCTTCGAAATAAATAAATTAGAAAGGACAATATTCACCTAGACAAAGGCTCACTCTATACACACACTTGCTGGCTTATTTGCTACTTAGGAAAATTTTTCCTTGGTTTGAAATAACAGACATGTATTTGCATTACCTTAAGAAAAGGGAGTTTGATGGAATGTTTCATGGCCTGGAAATGGAAATGGGAAGCCATTCAGAGTGTAAGTGCACTGTCTCTGTTCTGTGCATCACCTTCTCTCAGCAACTCTGCTTTTCTCTGCCCTGAATGCCCTTTCTTCACCTTATCGCTTCTTTTCAGTTGTGCTATCTGCTCCCCTTAACTTTAACTATCTGATAGTCCCTTGACTATCAGAACTTCAATTCATGGATTCTTTCAGCTGTAACTCCTACTATTAACATTTGCCCTGTCAGTATTTTCTATATCATATTCCCAAAAGGAGAAATCTAGCTGGCACACCTCACCTTTTTGTTGAGCCATCATATGCTACCTAGAGCCAGGTGGCAT